CGCCGATGAGCAGTATGGTAAAAATGAGTTGGCCATTAAAATAGATTAAATTTTATTTTATTTATTATTTTTTAATTGCCACGTCACTAAGTTGACGGTCAACTTTGAGAGTTGACTGCCACATCAACCAAAGTTAACGGAGTTGGACGGAGAGTGACCAAACGTGAATGGTTTTAGTAAACTGAAGTACCATCAATAGATTTAAATATTTCGAGTGACCAAACTTGAATATTTTTTGTAATCTCAGTGACCAACCATGCAATTAACCCTAAAAAACATAGTTAGCAAAACAAATTACGGGTGAGTTATGTATTTTACATATATGAGTATTTTACTTTGTCTTTAAGCTAACTATGCATCTAATAATACGTTAAGGTATTAAAATATATGAAATTAATTATACAAAAAATAAAAATCATTTATAAATAATCAATTTAGTTCATTCGATACTAATATGAAATGACATGTTATACGAATTCTTTACTTGTTTAGCATAGAAGCCATTACATAAACAGGATAAATCGAAACGGTTCGACAATAAAAGTGTATTGTTCTCCCACACACCAAATAAAAGCTTACGGGTGGTCATTGTGATTATTAATTTATTATTACCACCTAGTTCAGAAGCTTTTGCACGCAAGCATTAACCGGCTCAGCAATTGGTCCTTCCTAATAATAATTATCAAGCTAAGTGGCGCACCATTGGCTTTCGCTAATTCCTTGGGGATAGACTTTGGAATTTGGGGTTGCTTTGGAATTATTCAGATAGGAATTTGGTCTTTCCGTATAGGAGTATGGACTTAGTTTGTGGAATTTGGGAATTTTATTTAGTTGGGTGTTGTCGTTGGAATTTGGAAATTAGGTCGAAAAATTCAGCCGCCCTCACCTTGGAATTGCTTTTAGACTTGCTATTTATTTTCCAAAAGTTCTCGCTTTTCATCGAGGAAAACAATCTTATATATTTTTGTAAGAAAAAACCCGAACTATAAAAAAAATGTTACTTATTTCTCGCACTATTTAATATAATATTTATGTTATGAACTATTTTTCAGTTAGTGTTGACGGAGTTTGACCATCAATATTTAACAAAAAATTCATTAATTGTCGACGTGGCATCTAATAAGAAATTTTACATATTATTTTTTATTTATATTTTAATTTAAAATGATTAAAACAAGAAAAATAAAAAATAAATAAATTACAAAAAATCCCCAAATCGTCTTAATCGCTCAGTCGATTCCGCTTCTAAGCAAACACAAGTTTACCACCATCTGGTCAACCGTTATCTATAACGCTTAAAGAAATCGTCAGGACATAAATGTCACAAACCTATCATATGTTGGGATATAAATAGAATATTGAATAGTTCGGGACACAAATGACACTTTTTTGATAGTTCGGGGTTCCCAGTGGTATTAACAAGAAAAAAAACAATATGTTATAACCGGGCTGCTCATTAGTACGATATTGTCCGCTTTGGGCCAAGCCCACACGGTTTTACTTTTTGGTGTCCTCCCCAAAAGGCCTCATACTAATGAGTTTGGTGGACACTAATATACAAGGGGTCATTCCCTTGTATTTCCGATGTGGTACTTGGATTGTCCCATAACAATTCTCCCCTCAGCGATTATCTTGATCCGTCAGACACCTTGTATCGATGGGCTTCTTGGTACAAGGATTTTCTCAAACGACGCGGACCTCCCTCGATCTGCCAAACCAGATGTAGCCTGAACGTGGATCTCTCGTGGATCCACCAAACAAGACGCAGATCGCAAATCCTGAGGTCCCCGAATGAGGATCCACTCTGACGTCCACCACCCTGAACCGAACCAGACTCTGATACCATTTGTTATAACCGAGCTGCTCATTAGTACGATATTGTCCGCTTTGGGCCAAGCCCGCACGGTTTTACTTTTGGGTGTCCTCCCCAAAAGGCCTCGTAATAATGAGTTTGGTGGACACTAATATACAAGGGCTCCTTCCCTTGTATTTCCGATGTGGTACTTAGATTGTCACATAACACAATCATATATAGAAGAGTTATACGGTGAAGACAGCCAAGAACAAAAATCGAATCCAATCAACTAAGGGTACAACGAAATAACTTTTCTAATTGCCACCAAATAAGCAACCCTATTACTATTTTGTAACAAATTAATGGCCAAACTTACCATGAAGAGCTATAATTTCCTCGAGCAACATTCTTGTTCCGAGCATCCATCAACTGCCCTATCAGGATATTGTGGCGCACCACCTTCGCATTCCTCACAAAAATCACAACCATCGTCCTCCTAATCATATATATCATTAAATCACATCGTGAAGAGTCAAAGTGTGTCACTCTTAATTGCACTAGTAGACGAATGTTCAAAAGAATTGTAGTTAATCTTCCTAAAATGATGTCATCTCTAGTAGCCTTATATTCAACGAATTTTTCACTCATTTCTCGATTTGAAATTGCAATAGGTCATGACTTATTTTGATTATTGTTGAGGTTTAATGAAGTTATTAATATATTTTTTTTTTGATCAAGAAGTTATTAATATTTGAAGTTGAACTAAAATAAAAACGTGCTGTAAAATTGGTATTTCTACTAAAAACACAATTTTTACTACAACACCTAGGCGTCACCTAGGCAGTGGCGGATCCAGGGCTACGACCCAACCATCTTTTGGGTCCGGAACTAATGTAGTCCTTAAAAATTTATTGGTTTTTTTTTATATTCAACCGAGTGCTATTTTATAATAACATTGTGTGTAACTAGAAATATGATTCAAATAAACATATTCAAATCACTACTTTAAATTTAGCCTACAAATTTATATCCCTAATGATATTCATCTAAAAAAACTAAACAATGAAACTTAAAATTCTAAAAGTCTAAAACGTAAAAGGCTAAAAGAAACATGAGCTTTGTTTCGTTGAAAAATTACTAGAACAACTAGTGGAAATAGGTATGGACACACAATACAAATTGATTGGTGATTGATTTGTCTAGTGTTGACGTTATTCCTTTCAACGGCTACTACGGAGAAAACCTTTTCAACAATGGAACATGTGAAAATTGATTTGTGCAACAAAATTGGCGATGAATTTTTCGCCGATTGCTTAACTATTTTATTTGAAAAAGAGTATGCTATTGGTATGTATGTATACTCCATGATTGAAGAATTCGCTAAATTAAAAGACCGTTGTAGACAATTAACATTGTAAAAAATAAAAACTAAATTTATTACATTATGATCTCTACTTTTCTAATAAAATATGAACCAGTTCTCTATTATGTTATAAACCCGTCGCTACACCTACACATCACTTAGACATCGCCTAGTCGCTAGACAATGGCCCAACTCGTTCTTAGACCTTGGCTAGTCTACAACTAGTCAACTATCACATATCATACATATTCAGCAAAATCCAACCCCCAACCGTACGAGACCCACACAAATATGTAGCACTATCCACCGGCACCACCCACCATATCCTTCAAGACGTGGCAAACAATTGTGTGGTTAGAGTGAAAGGTATTGGTGTCATGGATGAAAATAAAAGCAAGTTATTTCACATTGCTGGTTACACGTGGCATGCATGTTGCAATGTTACTTGGAATCTAGGGACTTGCCTTAGGATCGATCTAGTTACATTTGACAATTGAGTTTACAATCTTGTAATATTCGACAATTATATGTGTCTATTTGGATTAGGATTTAGGTGTATTTGGATAGCTTAACTTCATTTGCTATCTAATATCATCTCTTTATAATTATATTCGAGATAGTAACATTTGTAATATCTTAATAATTTTCTAGTGAAGATTTTGTTCGCTTTGAACCTACTCCCGCACGCTGATACTTTGGGGGTGCATCATGGTTACTAACCAAGAGGTCATCCACCTCCGCACTGCTCTGCACCGAGTATCTTTAAATTGTCAAGTTCAAAGATCACTCATCTCTACACTGCTCCATTCTGAGAATGTTTACCTTCTAAGTCATTACAGGAAACTCATCCATTTCACCTGAAAATGCTTCTTGTCAATTAAGATTAAATTATTTTGTATGACTCATATATCTCTCATTTGCTTTGTCAGTATGAGATTTAAGGACATCTAATGAACCGTGGAGGTCCTGTCTTAGAATTGAGATGTGGTCCAAATTGATTTTTAAGTATAATAAAATGTAAATGATCATAGCATCGTTATTTACAACGTAGTATCTTTCTAGCATTTTTTAAAATAAAACAGTCTATACATACATGAGAAGATTGACTAATAACTAGCACTAATATGTATTAATAAAATTAAAGACATCATCATACTCAAATCCATTAATTGTATAACACATGTACAATATGTAATATACATTGAATCGACTAAAATATTCAGTTGGAGGCCCCATAATATTCATAGGTCCTACGAATATGATGATTAAGGGCCTCCCAACACACCCTCTTGGCCGCACCTAATGAGATTTGCCTAATGTATTATGACATTCGGCTAACAACATATTTAAAAAAACTGTAATATTATTGCACTCGATGACACTGATTAACAAAAAAATCATTTTGTTTTTTTAAGGGAAACCAATATATTTCACACTCAGTGATCAATTCACACAAGTAACGTCCATTTTTCTTTCCACGAGGAAGCGAAGTGACCATGCGTATGTAATATGTATACAAACTTTTCCATAATCCATCTTATTGACTCGGTCGATTCCAATATATTTTTTTTATAAAATAAAAATCGACATTAATGGAATTTACAAATTGATATATACTTTGAGTCTTTGATACTTGAAAATTGCTATAATATTCTATTATTTTACAATAACACAAATCGTCAATTACTTTCTTTTGTACCATCATGCACGATAAAAAAAAAAAGTCTTCACTACCGTGTTAAAGGGTATGAAATAATGGACTAGAAATAAACTATATAACAAAAATCTAAATAGCCATTTGCTTGGGCTATAAATACCATCCCAGAAGAGCCCGCTTCTTTCTCATTTCCCTCTCCCCGTCCCAAATAGAGACGTAACTTCCATTCCATATGAATCATTTAGTTGCTTTGCCCAAATATCCCCCCCAAGTCACAATGGGCAGCAGCAGCAATATGGCTGATGATGAAAATCGTCCCACAGCGGATTTCCATCCCTCGCCATGGGGAGACTTCTTCGCCACCCACAACTTCGCAAGTGATGATGTATGTACTCTATTTATCTAGAGATCGTTTCGCCAACATGTATGCATGGTAGAATCTGGTATGAATTTATTTTTTTAAAAAAGTATGCCCATTGTGGTTAGTGATTTCAACTAAAAAATCACAAATAGAGCGAACAAAATTTTATTACCTAAAGAAATAATTAGCTTATTTGTGCTAAACTAGCCAGCTTATAACTCTTACATTTTCCCAATACGGCATGCAGGTGTTGAAGGAGTGGAAGGAAGGAATTGAAGTGCTGAAACCTTATGTAGTGAGGATGTTGTCAGCCACTGCTGGTGAAGACGCGGTAGACAAATTAGTGCTGCTAGAAAGGCTGAAACTAGTCGACGTGGTTGAGCGGCTAGGCATTGGTTACCTTTTCAAGAGAGAAATCCAACAAATCCTCCAACAAGTGTATGAAACACACGACTCAACTGATGACCTAAACAATGATAATATGAACCTCCATGATGTTGCTCTTCGTTTCAGGCTTCTCAGAGAACATGGTTATGATGTCTCCAGTGGTAATTAACTAACTCAATAACTTTTTTTTTATAAGGATGATATATATGTTATTTTTTGTTATTAGGTAGTACTACTTAAATTTTTTTGAATATGTGACCTTCATGTTTAAGGCTAGTGATATTACCACTAGATCAATCAATATTTGCTCTTGTTAGCTTGGGCCTCTTGCAATCATTTGAAATATTGATTATTCATGAAAATGCACTTTTTTATACAAGAACATGATTAATTTTGGACCTCACAAAATTTGGGGTCTCAGCTCAAAGAATAGTGAACTAGTAGTTTTAGTTTATTTTACAAGTCGAACCTGGGGACTCCGAGTTGAAAACCAATGGTACGATCACTCGACCACAATGTCATTCGTACTAGTAGGTTTAGTTTTGATTGATTTATATAATTTACATGGGGCTCCAAAATTTCAAGGCCTACATTTAATTTCTGATACCGTACCTCTGAAATTGCAGGGCCTACCCTGCATGCAATAGCAGGTCGGAGGCACAAAAAACTATAGGGGTCGTTTGGATGGATCAATCTAAAAATGAGTCAATTTGATCAATTGTCTCGTTTTATAAACGAGGCAATTAAAACGAGTCAATTCGAATTACCTGCCCCCACTCAAGGTAATTGAAATTGACTCAAAACGGATCAATTCAAAATACCTCAGACAGATTGATCCATCCAATTTTTTTGCTGGCAAACGAGGCAATTTGGTACAATTGTCTCAAAACAAGACAATTATGTCAAATTAATCCGTTACAATTCCTCATCCAAACGACCCCATAATTTTAAGCGTTTTGTAGAGAATGTCTAGCTACAGCGAAGTGCTAGAAAAACGCTTTGGGTTAAAGCATTTTATGTAAAACACTAGCCTTATGGGTGTTTTGTGCAAAAGTTTCTTTTTTTTTAACCGTTTAAAGTGCTCAGCTAAGCAAAACTTTGTGTAAAACGTTTTGGCTATAAGAGTTTTTAGCAAAAAAAAAAAAAAACACTTTGTTGGGAAAATTTCATGATTATTTTGTTGTATATTCACAGACATATTCAATGAGTTCAAGACAAAGAAAGGCGAGTTCAAGGAAGAATTGGCGAGTGATGTTGAAGGCATGCTAAGTTTGTATGAAGCCTCATATTTGCGTAAGCAAGGAGAGAACGTATTAGACGAAGCAATCCAGTTCACGAAATCACACCTGGAAGCTAAGGCTGTTGATGTAGAGTCCCTATTGAGTGAACAGTTGACTCATGCCTTAGAAAGACCTAAGTGAACGGCTATTTGCCGCCAATCAAATTGCTATTTGCCGCCAACTAAAAAAAAAAAAAAAAGAATTCAAAATTTGAATTTTCTATTCCTTCCCAGTGCCTCCGTCGCCGGTAAAAAAAAAAAAAAATTAAATTTTGAATTTTCCCTTCCTTCCCAGTGCCTCCGTCGCCGGCACCGTTCTTCCGTCGTCGGCTAACCTCCCGTCACCCTCAATCGTCGGAAAACAAGTAAGTTTACTTTTTCCGGCCAGTTTTCCAGTTTTCCGGTAAGTTTTCCAGTTTTCCGGCGAAAAACACGGCGGGCCGAAAAAAAATTGTGGCCCGAACGTCGTCGAGCCGAAAAAAATTTGTGGCCGGGACGACGGCCGGCCGAAAAATTCTTTCGGCCCGGCGACGCCACGGCCGCAAATTTTTTTCGGCCGGTCGCCGAACACGCCGGCCAAAAATTTTCCGGCGGCGTGTTCGTCGGCCGACCGAAAAAAATTTGCGGCCGTGGCGTCGCCGGGCCGAAAGAATTTTTCGGCCGGCCGTCGTCCCGGCCACAAATTTTTTTCGGCTCGGCGACGTTCGGGCCGCAATTTTTTTTCGATTTATGAACGAATGTCGGGTCACCATGCAACGCTGCTGAGCCTAGCCAAATTGAGCTTCAACGTTCTGCAAAACATGTACCAAGGCGAGCTAAGAGCTCTCACCGAGTAAGTAACTTGACTCAAAGTATAAGCAGATTTGAAAGAAAGTACGACTAGTGATATGATGAGATCGAGTGAATAAATAAGCCATGTGTGTGAAAATTGGTGGAGCTAAGTGGAGGATTGTGGAATTACGGACCCCGCTTGGAAAATGAATAACTTTTCAAGATGAAATCATCAAATTTTGAATCATATCGACCCCTCTTCCTAAATCCTTAGTTTTATCATTAGGATACAAATTGCATTTGATTATATTTGGATCCCACTAAACTATATTCCTAGTTACACCAATTCGTATGAATATAAGTTAAATTTTGTTATTGATTGATTAGACTAGGTGGAAAATACGCTAACATGATTTTCATGAATATTAACAAAAGATTATGATTCCTATTTTACTTAGTAAATTGCAAGAATAACTTTTACTTCATTTTTAAAGGTACTGGATAGATTTGGATTTCGCTAGGAGGCTTCACTATGGGAGAGATAAGCTAGTGGAGGCTTACATATGGGGAGTTGGAAGTTTGTGGGAGCCAAAATTTGCATTGGCTAGAACAAGCATTACCAAAATTGCTGCACTTGGAACATTTCTGGACGACACATATGATGCATATGGCACCATTGAGGAGCTGGAGCTGCTCACAACCGCCATTGAAAGGTGTATATTTACTTTTTTCATGACCAATACGATGGTCAAGGTTGATTAATTAACACAAATTTGTTGATGGAGAATAGGTGGGATCCAGGCATGGAAAAATTGAATGGAAAAATGAGATTCCTTTTCGAGGCGATTGCTGCTTTCTACGATGAAATTGACACAATCACTTCAAAAGAAGGACGGCCATATTGTTCAGAATATGGGAAAATGGCGGTAACATTATTGCACCTAGCTTCTCCCATTCTAGCACCCTACTAATTAGTGCTAATGCATCCATGTTTGGAGTTTGCAGCTTAGATATGTTGTGAGGTTATACCTGACAGAAGTGAGAGGCCGTGGAAAAGCCAAACTGCAAACCTTTGAGGAATATCGGAAAGTTTCTTCGCAAAGCACTTGTTACATTTGGATGATATGTGCGGCACTCTTCGGATACGGTGAGCTGGCTCCAAGAAATGTTTTCGATTGGCTGTTCACAGAACCCAAAATTTTACTAGCTTCCTCGGATCATTGTCGTCTTATGGATGACATCGTAACCCACCAGGTAAAAGAATGCTATGTTTTCATACCTCTTTAATATTAGTTAGCATGCTCACTCTATGCAACAACCATAGAGAGAAACAAATACTAAAATGAATGGTATTCATTTTTCATGAATGTATATGTTGCAGTTTGAGCGAGAGAGGGGACACATCGCTTCATCAGTAGAATGTTACATGATACAATATGGTGTGTCGAGAGAGGAAGCCGTGAATGTGTTGAAGGAAATGGTGGAGGAGGACTGGAAGATTGTAAACCAGGAATTGCTTCATCCATCACCCTGTAAGATCACTCATGTGGTATCTCACAAGGAAGTTCTTTCAATATTTCTCGGCTTTGAAAAAGTGATGGACGTTCTCTACAAATACTCGGATGCCTACACAAATTCTACCGATGGCACCAAAGATATGCTCACTACTTTGCTTGTCACTCCCCTTCCTATTTCATCATCGGAACCGAATTGTCCTTTTTACATAACTGTATGTGTGTGTGTGATCATCTTGTGAGTTTCTATGGTTTCATTGCTCTCAAGCTAGCTTGTTTTCAAGGGACCCAACTGCTGATGCATATGCTAGCCTATTATGTATCTTTTTTAAGCTTGGTTATCTACGCAAACAATTGCTTGCCACTACTACAAAAGTTGCATTTTGTGACCATTTTTCATGCAACCAAAATTCTTTTGGTAGGCAAAGACCAAATATTTGTGGCCAATTACACTGTGGCAATACAAAGTGTGATGAATTGGTTACTAACTAAAAAATTATTTTCTATAACCAAATTAAAATTTATATGGCCAAATAAATTTGGTCACAAAATGCTAAAATGTTTTTCTAAACAAATATAGTACTGTTCATCGTCCTTAGTGCTTTATAAACTAACTAATATTTTTGGTCACATATACATACTAAAATATTCACTTAATATATAATCATTTTTACCACCAATTAAATTATACTCTAAATGACGAATTTTTTTGGGAATAAGTATTTTTTCTGGCCAAATTTATTGGTTATAATAAAATGCAATTTTCAAAGTAGTATTTTGGGTCATATAAACATACTATGATCTACTTCCATTAAAAAAAAAAATACTATGATCTACTTACTTGAAAAATCTTTCAAACAAAATTAAGATTTAAATTACCAAAAATTGGTAATTATTGGTCCAATTTATTCTTTTAAGTTTTATGAATTACGATTTACGGCAGAAAGAGAAGTGAAGCAGAGGGGTTAGCATCTCGCTCCTCATTCAAAACTCTCCCAAAGAATCGTGACTTGTCTCTCCAAGCCAGATTTGAAATCGACAGAGAGGATCGAAATCGAGGAAGGTAATTCTCTACGAATGGAAGAACTTAAGGTTTGATATGGGAAATGAGGTTTTGATGATGATATTTGCAAATCTCTTATCAAATCATTTAGGAATATACATAAAGTTAAATTCTTCTTGTTTGGTGGCTCAGAATATGTTACTCATATTTGAGTTCCTTTCTTCTAGTTTACTTCTAACTTTATAAAATAGTACATATTCTCCTCTCCTGGGATGCTTTGGTCATTGCCTACGATAATAACACTACCATAGTTGCTGCATCAAGGCTCTGGTATTTTGCTTTGTAATTCTCATCATGCTTACTGTTATATCAATGTTCTGTGTATGCTTCTGTTAGTAAATGGTCTATGATCCACGATTATTGAACCTCTCCTAACAGCTCGAGTTATTGTGATCAATTGGTTCTTGACATGGTATCAGAGACTTTTGTGTCTTGTGTTCGAATCCCGGTGACCACCATCTATTTCTGTTAAGCACATAGTGCCCGGACCTGTGTCTGTGCAAACTCCAAGCCTATCTGAGTGGCTTGGATTTGAGGGGATGTGTTAGTACACGGTATATGATCCACGATTGAACCTCTCTCAACAACTCGAGTTATTGATACTAACTGGTTCTTAACAACTTCTTTACCAGAAACTGAATCTTTCAAGTGTTAGAGTTCATAATTTCCTGTATTGTTCAAGCTTTTTTTATGTAGACCCTAGCAACTCTCGTGTGGGGATGGGTAGTTGTCTCATTCTTCTCGTGGTTTGTTGGCTTCGTTCTTGAAACACGAGAGTTTGAACGAATTTGCATCAAATTTTACACCATCACATTGCGGGGGTGTTCTTCAAGATTGGATATTTTGATCAAGATTGATGTCGTTCTTCACAACATCATCTTGCGGGAGCGTATTAGAGATAGATTAAAAATATTCTTATATTTCCTTGTTCTCATAGTATAGTTCTTAGTATTTTCATATCCTTCTAGTGTTAGAATTATTGTGGTCCTCTTACTTAATTTGCAAGTCTTGTAATCTATATATAGCCCTTTGTGGTTTCATATAAGTTACAAGTCACTACAAAAAAAGTTAGCTATATCAAGGGTTATGTAGCAGGGGTTTGTTAAACCCCTGGTAATATTTTAGAAACTCATTATACTAGCGGTTTATTCCAAGGGTTTAGGAACCCTTGCTATAGTGCAACTCTCTTTCAATACCAACCCCCATTCTTTCACGATAGAAAGAATCTCATGAGTCCGTCTCCGGTCTTCTTCTTTTGAGTTCGACTCCCAGCTCGGCATTGTCGCCGGGATCTCCCCGCCGCCACTCCACTCCGTTATCTACTTTCTTCTCTCCGATTCGAGTTCATCATAATCCGAATCAGCCCACTTCAGCTCGGCATCGGCAACTAATTCGCTTCACCGGGTCTTCAATTCGTGGCCGTGTTTCTTCCTTCAAGCTTTCAAGTAATGAAGATGATCCTCAGATTCTGAATCTTTCACCGTTTCTCACTTCAAATTCATCTTCCTTTGCCTACTACTTATTTCTCATCGTCTGGGTTTTGCGCTAATCGCTCTGCTTTCTAGGTCAACAATATTCTTCCTCTTTGTGTAACATAGTCCGTTTTGCTTTCTGTTATCGAATGAGTGTTTTTGCTGTTAAAGATCCTCTTTGTGTTCCCCTGCCTTTACATATCCCTTTGCTCTCTTTGAATGCTTGGCCTCTTTGTGGTTCCATCATCGATCACAGATCTAGCTAACTGCAATGCTTTTGCTTATTATATTGCAGCATTTGGGAATACTGAACTTGGCCATGATATTTGTTGTCCGATTTTGTGCTCTTCTGCTAGCTTGTTTCTTGAATGAGAAATCCTGACCCGATGCAGGTGAACTGCTCGATATTTGTAGAAATTGAGCCCCAAATTGTCTAAGTGTATGATTGTTCAGTTTCCATTTTTTGCAGCTGTGAGTTCCTTTTTCAGAATGGACAAGAGTTGGATGAAAAAGCATAGAACAAGTGTTGAATATAAAGACGGAGTGCAACTTTTTCTGGATTATGCATTTCGAAATGTTTCACATGTATCAAAGGTCTTGTGTCTCTGTGTCAAGTGTGCAAATGTTTATGCACAAACATATGATGATATTCAGGTACATCTCATTTGTGATGGTATTCTAAGAGGGTATACAATGTGGGTTTTTCATGGAGAAACTTTTCAAGCTAGTGGTGTTGCCACTTCTTCTTCCTCAGTGACAAATGTTTCAACTATGGGTATGGAGAGAGTATCTATTCCTATTCAATCAAACCCACCAATGAGAGCAGATTTGATGGGTTTTCTTCTCGATGTCTTTCGCCGTGAAGATCTAGTGAACGATGAAGTACCTTGTGAGCAGGATGAAAACTTCTTGGAGGATAGTGAGGGAGAAAATGATGATAGCGATGAAGTGACAGATGATCCATTACAGAATACTTGTGAAATAGAGAATTTGATAAAAGGTGCAAATGAAGGGCTTTATCCGGGGTGCAAAACATTCTCAAAGCTATCATTTCTATGCATTTATATCACATGAAGGTTCATAATGGATGGACTGCAAAATCTTTCACCATGTTACTTCAGTTCTTACTGCAAGCATTTCCAGAAGGTATTTCCTTACCCAAAACTCATTATGCAGCTAAGAATGTTGTTCAGAAGTTGGGCTTGGATTATGTTAAAATTGAAGCATGCGCGAACGATTGCAGTTTGTATTGGAATTTGACAAAAGATGCTGATTCTTGTTATGTCTGCGAAGAATTTAGATATAAATTTGGAGATATAGATGGCCGCAAGGTGAAAGCAACAAAAGTTTTGCGTTATTTTCCATTAATCCTGAGGTTACAAAGACTATTTGCTTCTGAGAAGACGGCAAAACACATGAGGTGGCATGATGAATGTCGGAAGAAAGATGTGTTCTTGCGACATCCGGCCGATGCAGAAGCTTGGAAGGCATTTGATGCTAGACACCCCAGTTTTGCCTCTGGTTCACGCAATATCAGATTGACTCCACTGTCGATTAAGAATTGGAAAAGAAAGGAGTTCAAACCATTTAAAAGACAGATACTAAGCCTTACCAAGGTAAAACCACTGATGTACCCACAGTTTAATACCACTGCTGTTTTCTTTGGTTTATTCACTACATATTTATATTTCTTTGTCTTTCTTTGTGTAGTCAAAGTTCCGCTACCCTGTATGTTTAGAAAGGTGGATTTTGCAACTTGTTGACAAGAAATGGGTCGACTTCAAGTATGATTTAAAGAGCAAACACTTTGATGTTGGGAAAACGGTGGAAAATATTATGGAAGAGGGACTTCCAGAAGGTGTTACAGATGCAAATCAGTGGTACACCTTGGTAGTTAGCTGGTTTTTCGAGGAAAACAAGGTAAATCCTATGTCCTGATAATGATGATGATTGGCTCATTAATTTCAACTTCATTTTGTTGAAATTCGAACCCCCTGCTGGTTGTATATGCTTCCATGAAAGTCCATGTCCATGTCCCTTGTTTGAAATGGAGCTCAGCTGGAATGAATAAATGATAATGATAATATTGAATAAATAAATGAAAAGGAAAAAGGAAAACCATCGGGGTGTTTCTAATTTCCAGCTCTTCTCATCATCATCATTTGTTCCTCATTTTCAGGGTGCCTATTATTACCCAGAAGCAGCCAATTACATAATCCCATTATTTTAATACTCCACCAGAACAAGTTATGATTATGTATGGTGTTACCAACAACAACTACACACTTTAATCTGATAATTGTTAATCTTAGTCCTGGGAATATTCAATGCTCACAAGGTTCTTCATCTTATATATGCTAGTTCCAGAATTTCATTTCTTTGCTTGAGTGGTCTCTTTAGCTAACTTCATACGTACCCAGCTTTTCTAAACAAAGCTGTCAGTTTATCCACCTGTAGCTTGTGCAAACAAAGTCCCTCTTCTATTATTCTGCTGCTGCAATTTTTCTGCAGGGTTGCTTCTTCTTTTATTCCTATGTCTTGTCCTTTTGCTAATGATGTTGCCAGTTCAGAGTTAGAGCAGATATATAATACTAAAAATCTTATTTGTGCATAAAAGAAGTGCAGTAAACCGTGCTAATGCAAAGAAGAAGAATGTTTTTCACACAGGAGGAAGAAGGAGCATTGCAAGGACGAGAAAGCGACTGGTAAAACTTTATTTGTTTCTGTTTTGCTTCATGTACATTCTTATAAATAATATGATCAGATTTTGTTCTAATCTAAATTCTAATATATTACAATGATTGCAGAAGGAAAAATTAGGCAGAACTCCAACTAGACTTGAAGTTTTCGAAGCTAACCATAAGAGAAAGGATGGGACATACATCAATGATCATGCTAAGGAGTTCATGGTAATTCCTATGGTAGCTCCTACTCATATGTGAAATGAGAGACATAGTTTGCTTTAGTAGATTAGTAGTGTTGCTGGTAGTGTTTGGTATTTATCTAACATGTGATTTTGCTGCAAGATAAAGCAAATGAAATTGAGGGATCTAGTGAGGAGGTTTTCTAGAAGCTAGCAGGTCCAGAGCATCCTGGGAGGCTTCGATGCATGGGGTTAGGGCCAACTAAGAGCGCATATTTTGGAGTTTACTCGCGTGGTGCTGCATCTGGATCATGCTCACGTTCATGTAGTCATTCGAGTGAAGATGTACCAACTTTGAAAGGAGAGTTAAGTGAGGTGAAGAAAAAAATGAAGGTCATGGCAAGGTTCATCAGTAAGCAATTCCCTGGGCAAAATTGGATGGAAGATGCCGAAAACAATCTGGTAATTTCTCTCCCCTCTTTTTCTCTTGTTTGAGGTAGTTTAGTAATGAGGTAGTAAAAGAGAAAAGGGTGAGGAGAATCCCATAGTATCATAGCGAATTTGAGTCTCTATAGTGCAATTTGAGTCTCTAAACCGACTTATATCGATGAATCAGTGAATGAGTTGTGGGTTGTGGTTAGGCATCTCAAACACCACTGCTGAAACCAGTACAAAGTGTTGTGTTTGGTGAAGGGATGAATCTGTTCAGTTATTTCTTTCACTTTAGTTTGGCGAGGGGGGGAATCTGTTCAGTAATGCTGCCTTTTGTTGTGAATTGTTCTTTCTACAACTAGCTGCTGCATGAGATGAGAGCTTTTATGTTTTGCTAGCCTCGGTTATCTCTGCTTTTTAATAATAATAGTTGTGCTAGCTTGTTTGTATCATATTCAAGTGTTGCCTATGCTTTTTTTTAGCTTCAGTTTCTTAATCTCTTATAACAATTTTGTTAGAGGTAAATGTTGATAATTCTTTTCCTTTTCTTCAGGGTGCAAGTACTGCCCCATCTTTGAGTTCTCGAGCTTCTTGATGTCGTGATATCATGCTCTTAGATGAAGGATGTTGAATCATGAGTTTATCATGTAAGTTCTTTTGAGTAGTATTCTAGTAGGTTGTTATGTTTTTATGGATTGCCAATGGTGTTAGTAGGGATTATATTATGGTACATAGAATGTTTGAGGTAAATGATGAATCATGGTACGGATTATGGAGTATTGACGGTTTTGTACGGTATGTATGGTACGGATTAGTGAAAGACAGTATGAATTTGGTCACTATTGCATATTAGGTTCTGAGTTTGTTAGAAGTGACTATAGTCTTTGCAACCACGCTATAACCACCAGTTTTGGTGGTCCTATTTAGTGACAGCTTTGAATTTATTTTTAGTGACAGCTTGGCATTCTCTTTAGGGAGGGTCTGATTTCGTCACAATTTTTTTTTATATTAGCCACCAATTAAGCAGGGGTTTAAACCCTTGGAATAAATGTAATTCAAATGAAGCTATAACATTCACTAGCAAGGGGTCTGACCGTAACTGATTTAACAACGCATGTAGCAGGGGTTAGAGCCCTTGCTATGAGTAGACCCCTGCTAAAACCCCTGGATGGTACTTCCACCGTGGGTTTCTCAAAACCCTTGCTATCCATAGCAGGGGCAGCATAGGTGAGGGTTAATCCAGGGGTTGTACAAACCCTTGCTACAATTTATAGCAGGGGTTAAAACCCTGCTATATGCCAATAAAACCCTTGGTATAGCTCCCTTTTTTTGTAGTGAGTTACTATTCCTAAAACTCTTATATGTATAACTCTAATTTTCCAACCTTAGATAGATTGATTCTCTTGACTTCCTAAAGAATTTGGTGAATGAAACTTCTCTTCCTTTGGTTGTGAATTGTATGGAAGAGACATGGTTCTCTTTATATTTGGAGTGCTCATTTGGCTAGACCTAAATGGGGACCTTTGGCACAATGATGGTTGAAGGGGGAGATGGATGCAATTATATACTATGGTAGCCAGGTTTCACCCTGTGCCAAGATTCCTCCGCACAAAGAGGAAGTGAAAGTTGACAAGAAACAAGAGAAACCAGGACCCTGAAAGAAGAAGAAGTCCCAAAGGAAGAAGAGGTTTGTTCTTTCTTCTAGAGTTTGTGTGTTCATATACTAGATACTGTGTTTTCTTGTTTGTTTGGTTGTGTGATGGTGGTCCACTGGTCCTTACTTAGAACTGCGTTGTTTTGGTTGGCAGGGATGATTTCTTGGCGAGTGAGTTCAAGCTGAAGCTTTAGTCAGTCAAACACGGTTATTGGTTACTGGTCTAAAGTGATGGTGGGTGGGCTGGGGATGAAGTTGAGAGTTTTCAGTTTGTTTCCAACTCTCCACTTTAGTGCTGGTAGAAAGTTGGAGAAGGCTTGGCTATTTTGGGATCGGTTGAAGCTCTTTACTATAGTAAAGAAAATCTTCACTCATTCCCTATAGTATGGCTACTTGCTTTGCTCTTCACATTAGGTAGTGTTTATGGTCACAAATCTGTTGGCACACTGATCAACCGGGACTCGCGTCTCTATGGTTCATTGGTAAGCATTCAAAACCAATATTGTATTCTTTTTTTTTAATGAAATGGGTGGGAATGGTATTCTCCCTCTTTCTTTTATAAGAAGTTTTATTCCTTCCCTGTTTCAGTAGGGAAGCCTTACATTCAAGGCCGTATGAGCTTTCACCGTCATGGCTGCCTCCTTTGTTTCTCTGTTTGAGGTAATTCTGTAAGTGTACTAGAATGCATCTCTTTGTTGCTACTGCATATCACTTTAATATATGATTCAAAGTGAACTGGCTTCTACCCTTGTGATAGTGGCTTCTGCTCTTTTAAACTCTGCTTGTACTTTTTCTGTTGGTTCTCTGTGCATTGACTACTGATTAAAGTGAAGAATCTTTGCTTGTTAAAGAGAAAGGCCTCTGAAATTTTGGGATGCAAGGATTGGGACAAGGCGAAAGCTGGATGCGCTTACACCATGAAGTAAGACTCCACTCCCCACTCTTTGAATTGTGCATACTAATTGAGTTGATCCTTAGTTCTAATCTGTAATGTGTTTGTATTAGTTCGGTTCTTCAACCTCATACCAACCCACAGGTTAGTTTCTGGTATGAAACTAGTGTAATGGCCTAATGGGAACTGGGAATGCCTATTTGGCAAGGAATTGAGCAACTGATGGCTGTTAATCTTGTACTACCGAAAAGAGTGAGGCGTGATGAGTGAGTAGTTGTTAAGCTAGGGGCGAAATATTCATCTTACTGTCTAATGTCTTGTCTCTGGCCATGAGTTTGCCTTTTCCTATTAATTATGTTTCTACTGATTTCTTTACATTCCACAAACAGGGTAGAGTAGTGCACATTTGATGTGATTGGTGGCAGTGTGTCGGTCCCTTCCTGTTCGCAAATTTCGAAGGTAAGCTTCTTTCTTCTTTTGTCACCAGTTACAGCCCCAACTTATTGTTGTATTAGGTCTAGAACCCCTTATATGTTCTCAGTGAATTGATGGTTAGTTAGTGACATGGTCCTTTTCAGGGTCCGATTGGAGGAGCTCAATCTTGTTCTGGTTTAAATTGTAACTGCTGAGTTTGTTAAGTTGGAATGATTTTCTCTACATGAGTTCTTCTTATGAAAATTTGAGTTGTGAGTATTTAAACACGTGACCTCAATTACAATCCAACTCTCATACCATGTAATAAATCAGTTGATCGAAATAATTCGAGTTGTTAGGAGAGACTCATGTATAATACTTAACTACTTCCTTAGACCATCTCCATCCCATAAATCATTTAGTAATTTCTAAAATGGCACCCACACCCACATCAACAACTTTCATTTAACAATTTCCAGCAACCTCTATCCCTACAATTCTCTAGCAATTTCTTTGGTGGGACCCACAACTATAATATTTTTTTATGAAGACAACTACAATATGTCCATATTTTTTTTTTTGCATAATTAATAATAGAAAATGCATAACGTCTTTGACAATCTTATGTTTACACATAAAATTAAATTAGGGTTTAGTAAATTATTGTGCATTTGTATTGTGCTAAACTTTCTTTTCTTTCTTGCTTTATTATCAACAGGGGCTTCATCTCCCTCGCCAAAGACGGTCTGGATCCACGATGCCTACTTGACCAGAAGGCAACAGGAATTGAATTGACGTTCCAAACTCTCTGAACAATACTAGAGACGCCCGGGATCCACGAAGTCCCTCCTCGACCAAACGGCAACAGGAATTGAATGGGAGTTCCAGCTTTCTCCAAATGGCTGAAGGTCTTCAAGATGAGAGCAAGAATTGTACATCTCACGTCTACGAACTGAAGAGAACAAGATTGGGGATTCCTCCATTCATTATAGGGACGAAATCAATGGCTGAAGAAGGGGAATCCAGTTCCTGATTGACAACCCTATTTTTATCAACAACATTCAGCTCGACGCAAAGGGCAGCAGCATGGAGTCGCATTCCGGTGCCGGCGCGGTGGGTTTTAAATCCCAGTTTCAAGAAGGCAATATAATTAATAGAATGAAAATGTAGATGATGGTTTAAATTTTTTTTTTTTTGCAAACCGGGCGCAAACTAGCGCCCAAACCTTAATTGTTAACTAGCGTGTGACCCGGCCATTTGGCCGGAGGAAGGTGAGGTATGAAATTTGATAATGTAATGAGGTGTATACCTTATTGTTGTATAATTTTTTTTTTGGGAAACACGTGATATATTTAATGAATTTTAGTAGGAAAGAGATATGAATGATGCAACGAATAAAAAATAGCATTATGAACCAAAATCAAATACCTGTTACCTTGTGAAACAATATTGTTTCTGGTAATATGATGAGGTGGTGTAAGTTTTATAGAAACCGAATTCCAGAAAATCGAATAAAAAATCGCCTATCCCGCCGGTTTTAGGGAAATGAGCATCTCACGATCGTTGCTAGCTTTTAGTCGGCCCGTTGGCCGATTAATTTTCTTTATAAAACTTTCATCTTGTCATCATTGTGCTTTCTGGTTTTTTGTCAAGCCATGATAAAATCTAAAGAAATCAAGAATGAACAACACGATTTGAGATAGGAACCACAGTTCTTGTATCCCTAGAAAATGATTGTAAACACGGACTCACCTGCCAAACTGGTTTGGATGGAGATTTTTATTGGGTATCAGGGAACCATGTGATTATAAATTAGACTTGATCAAAACGGGCCAAAACTTGAAATTCAACCTATTTGACCGACCCATGCCAAACTCTAATTATTCTTTACTTTTAAACTTTCTATTTGAAAGTAAAAAATAATGAAAGAAAAGAGATGACTGCAATTCGCCATTTTCACATCACTGATTCGGGAATAAAACTATAGAATTTCGAAAGGAAATTGAAAATGTTTAGGATCGTTTTAATGTTAAAAATAAACAAATAGATCTTTCTGTTTAATTTTTTACTAACAAATACCAAACGATTCCCTATAATATACACTATAATTTAATCATTATGATATCAAATAATTACATAATATATATTTGAAATGATAAAAATTGGGCTAATTGGGTTGGTCGATGTTGACCATTGAATAACTTTAAAATACATTATATTTTAGCCACTAAGATATAAAATAATAGCATAATATATATTATACTAGAGAAAATAGCTTGTTTTGGAATGGCAAACCCATGATGTTCATTTATTTTACTTGATGGGCAAATCCCGTGTAGGTCAGGCCCATTCAACTCTTTTATTTTATGATTAGTGGTTAGCCCATTACAATCCATGCATTAGTTTATTGTTAAATTTTTTTCTTTTTAGCAATAAAAATGAGTATTGTTTTTGTCTTTTTATATATATTTTACCACCACGGAGAAATAAAAGGACTTAAAGAAAAAAATTGACACTCCTGGACCCGTTTAAATCCGCATGTGTACGTTAAGTTGGCCCGTTCTACAGAGGAAAAAGAAAAAAATTGACACTCCCTATTCTACCCTTCCTACAAACGCTCCTGGAGTAGGGAATT